CCCCCGCCCCCCTGTAAATGTGGTTTTATTATTGGCCCAGAAATGCTGAATGAGGCTGACAAGAATATGGGCAGAACTGGGCGTTCCTCGCCCACTGAGGAGGGAAGGCACGTCACGCACATAATACCAATTCAACAGCGTATTAGTTATAAAGCCATAGACAAAAAAATAGTTAACTTGGCAACACTTTTATCTACCACCACCGTTATTCAGCGGTATTAGTACACTTGTATGCGCATTCAAGTTGATATGGATGACAAAGATATATGTAGGTTTCACAGAGTATAAGCTAATTAAATGGACTTTGCATTATTCATTTGACTTTAAAAGTACGCCTTTACCTATCACCAGATGGTTTGTAAGTGTTGCCTTGAACCGATTAGTTCATACCTGAATTGGTCCTCCTTCCAATTACCCCGGTGATCAAGTTACATCAGCAGTAGTTTCTTTTGGAGACTATGGACCCTTGCTTAATTTCTACGAAATAGCTGAACATATCATAATTTTACTTTTCAACTACCTTCCCCTTCATTGCTGTCGGCACTACCTAATCCTAAAAATTACCACTTGCTTCCAGTATGACTCATACTAGTGGGCAATGAAGAGTAGATACAAGCTTAAACGGGTAAGCCTCATTGGATTAGATAACTTGCTGTTAGAAAGCAGAGCTGAGGTCAAAATAAATGATTACTTCTACTTAAATATCCTATCAAAGGTTCAAACTCAATAGCCGATTTAGCTATAAATCCCATTTCAATAAGATTGCAATTGCCACCATCGTTAGGGAGATAATGCCATTACCATGTTGATTTCTTAAATCAGTATCTAGAAATTTGGAAGAAAATTACATTTCACAACGCAATGTCAGTCTAGAGATCACAGCAGATCAGGTGAAGCCCACTGTCAAATCCCTAATTTGAGCGATATAAATTGATGAATGAAGATCAATTCGGAGAAGCTTTTAGCAATTAATCTTCAGTACTTTTCGATAAAAAGATATAGTTCAAATCTCTTTTAAGGGAATATTTTAAAATAACAAAAGTATTTACAGTATTACTAGTACTCTTAGTAGTTACTGAGTCAGTAAACATATCTCGTATTTACAAAACCGTCTACTAGAGGAAAGCATCACGATGCACTCTGCTCCTCCTCGCCAGTCTGCCACGTGGGGTAAAATCCAGCGGGAATGCTCTGTTTCTCCTTCTCACTCCTTCCTGCAGTGATGGCCATGAACTTGAATCGCTTGCCCATCTGGTTAGTTCCAACTAGCATCTCGGTCGATGCGATCAACTTCTGCTTCTCTTCCTCATTCTTGGTCCTTGCCACAAGGTTCTAAAGTGAAGATGACAAAAAAGAGTGCACAAGATAAAATTTAGGAAATGTAGGATAGAAAATCGTGATAGGCAAACAAGCCTTGACACTCGTCAACAAAATCGAAATGAGAGAGTTGGTATTGTAAATTGAAGAGCAGTAAATGAGGCATCTGCCAGAGTTGACATGGTGAAGAAAAAACTGTGGAACTTCAAAGGGTATGACAAAACATGCATCGCTATACAAATATATTTCAGTATCAAACTACCGATCAATATAAATTATCAGTATGCCCTATTTACAATATAATCAGAGGCATTCCCAGTACTTTTATCAAACTAATTACTTCAAGGGCCCAATCACTAGCAAAAAAACTCGAGTACATTCAGAAAATAAGTTACTTTGGAAGATGGCATACCTTAAGTCGCAAAAGAATTCCCATATGAATGAGAAAATACGCTTGACTCACAGGTCCATGAACGACAACTAAAGTTAAAAGAAAATTATTGAAAAAAAGATTCAAAATAGGAGCACAAAAAGTTAAATCCAACTTAAACATGCCTGGTTTGTTTGCCGCCTCCACGGATCGCCTAAGAAAAGCAAAATCTACATCTGCTGTAATGTCAGCCTGTCCTGGGTCTTTGAGTGGATCATGGAGCTCATGGTTCTTGAAGGCCTGCAACAGCAATAGTTGTTATAGATATTCCTTATAACTGAATACAGATGGTTAAGATAATAATAACTATTAGATTACTCGAAGAGTGTCCTGCCTCTCGCCAACATGACCGTAATCGACGATTAAAGCAGAGCCACCATCGGCTGCAATACGAGAGGCCATTTTCTGCACCAATGCTCCCCCATCAGGGCAAACCTCAACAATAGTCTTCTCCGAAAGGTCATCAATGAACTGCCAAGGAAAGGGGTGGATAATAAGATCAGTTTAGAAACAGAGCGATAGATTTTGATGACAATAAATTCAAATATACCACTTTGTTGACAGCCATGAAAAGTAAAGAGTTGAGGCTCAACAAAGGAGATCAGATTTATTTAAATCTAATGCGTTGTTCTTGCAGAACTAGTAAGAGGGAAGGTTCAGGCACGAAGTTAAACTAAATCGATGTGTATGAGAACAATATCTTGAAGAACTTGGATATATTTTGGTAAAGTTGTGAACGTAGGTTTCATAGCGATTTAAAAAAAAATCAAAAAGAAGATAAACTTCAATATAAAAGAGGATCATAGTGGACACAGATTACTGCACAAGCTTCACTTCACGTTGCTTCAAATGTAAATTAAGACCATATATGTGAATAGCATTCAAAGTTTCGGGTAAAAGACCCACATTATGGACCGAATAACAAATAAGAACATAAAAAAATTAAACGCATCTCTTAAATTCAAAACGTAAAACTGATGCATTATTAGTACATTAAGATTCATTTAAGCTAACATTGAATATAAATTAACTTAACAATACCGGAAGATATGTTGTAGAAGCCATTGTATCAGACGGTGAAGTTATAAACGTCAAGTGATCACCAGGTTCGATAGGGTTGGAAGGATTGATAGCATCAACGAAAACCTCTCGCCACTTGCCATCAACTTTCTGTGCAAAATAAAAGGTTTTACCGAAATATAACAGTTTACCTGGAAGCGGTGAATGGGTAGGGCGTCAAGGAACTCATTTGCAAGATAGAAAGAAGTGGTTCCTGTAGGAATCTCATCAAGTGAAGAATGCCAGGTAACATCTAGGCTGGAGTGACAGGTTTTCAGGACAGAAAAGATAGCTGATTCTTGTTGCTTTCGAAGACTATCACTACGTTCAATAAAACGCAGATGACGAAAAAGGGAATTTGCGGCAGGAAATTTATTAAGGGACTAAATTTCAATAACATTACAAAATGGAGATATACAGTAAGAACACTGGTCATAAGGGAGCCTCTACCAGGTCCAAACTCAACAATTTCAAATGGAGTATTTTTACCGTATTTCATCGATTCACTAACGATCCAGATTCCAAGAAGCTAAAAGAAAAGATTTAATCAATAAAAAGCTTGCCTCTCCGAACATCTGACTTATTTCAGGCGCAGTAACGAAATCACCTTCGGGACCAATAACTGATGAAGTTTTATAGTATCCCTAAAATGTGTCCATAATAGGTATAGAAAAACGAACATGGATGGGGTGATGTAAACTAAGTTTCATGTACTCAGAAACCGAGATTGGGCCGGCGGAGCGTATTTGACGACATATAATACTGTTTAGGTCCTCTTCATTTGAGGGGTTTACACTATAATAACATTTTTGAAGACGAAGGCAATATCGAACAGAACGAAGCATTGGCAATGCTGAGAGCCGCAATTAAATCCTAGGGCTAGCTCAAGGTTAACATCAAAATTCTAATGAAAATTATTTGCTGCATTAAAAACAGTATTCTCAAATATATACTTAAATTCCACTAAATATTAGCTTTAATAACGATCAAGAAAATTCAGTGCACTATGTGAATACTTAATGTTGCCTTGGATTTGGTCATTAAATATAAAACGTTCGAGAAAAAATCGTTTGAAAATACGTTTTCCAATCAAGTTAAATTTTTACATTGACAAAAGTATAGTTAAGGGTTGTTAACTATTGAGGATATCTCTCATTTGTGATATTGTTTGAATACATGAACCCAGATTAATTTTTGCGCTCCATCTCGAAAATCAGGTACATTTATCTATTTTCATGTAAATCGTTTATTTTATTTGGCTTCTGTTTTTCTCGCATTATTAATTATTTTACCTTGAAAATTTAACAACTATTTTTCTTTTCGATTTTTTTATTTTTTGTGAAAATATCTAAATAAGCCATGTAGAGTTTGTTATTTTTATTTCCTCCCACTTTCTTTCATTAAAATTTATCCCTTTATATTGTTTTGATTTCCTGCCAATATTCGCATGATTTACTTTTCAGAATCGAAGCAAAGTTTTAAAATGAGTGTTAATGGGTCAAATACTTTGCGCCGGCTAGGTGCTAAATCAGCAAGTGCGTTCAATTTATACTTTTCAGTTTTTACAATTGGTTGTTTTTTATTTAATAAATTTATTTTCTTTAGATACCGGTGCAATTGATGAGGAAGGATTTCGGCATTCCTTTTCGACTGTTTCCTCTCTTCCTGTATGTTAACAAACTTTATCTCATTAATACCTAATCCCTTTTAGATATACTCTTCTCGCGATCTCTCAGAATATATGACTAAAATTAAGGATTCAGTCTCCGCTCATTCAGAAGACTGGGAGCGACGTGTAAATGGAGTAAGTCGAGTCTATCTTTCCTATTCTTTCATTTTAATGATGCGAGAAATAACATATTGATTTTATTTTCAGCTTAAAGATTTGCGCAACGTAGTTGCCAGTGGTGGCCATCAGATGGATGATTTCCCAGCCCTCCTCCGCACTGTTGAAGCCCCGGTTCTCTCCTGTATTCAAGATCTTCGATCGCAAGTTGTCAGAGAAGCTTGCATAACTGTTGCGTATGTTGTTTTTATTTATCCCGTTTTTACATTTATTATGAAATAAATCCTATGGCGACTGTGTTTCTTCCTATCAGATATCTATCCCAAGAAATTGGCGGCAAATTCGACCATTTTGCAGAGGTTATTATGCAACCTCTTCTTAATCTTATTCTCAACAGTGCGAAAATCATGTCTACTAGCGCAATAACTGCCATCAGCATTATAATTCGAGCAAGTTTTACTTCTAGATTTCTTATTACGCACCTCCATCACTTTCATTTTCACCTGACTTTTCTTATTTTTAGCATACCTTTGCATCCCGTGTTCTACCCATTATCATCGGTGGATTACAATCAAAATCAAATGTTGTTAGGAAGTAAGTCGTTAGGAATTTCTGTTTTTTTTATCATCTTCCCTTCGTTCTTTTGGTACGCTTGTTCCCACAACCAAAGCCATTCACGAATCTCTCTTCCTGGTTGTTTTTCTTTGTCAGCAATTTGAGCGCCTATTTTTCCTACTAATTATTTTTATATCTACCCGTCTTTAACTAGTAGTTTAGATGAAAAATCTCTCAAACTTCATTTTGCGAAAAATAGTGAATTCATTTAGTTTTGTACCTATTTTACTAAGGAGGCCTACTTACGATTGATCTCTGAGTCATATTTAAAGTTTTATTTTTGACTAGTACCTATTCCGACTGCTTTTGCTTCTAGTATATTGTGATGTGAGTACTCCTTTGCTTATTCGTGTGATTTTTATTGTTTGCCTTTGTTTTTCCCATAATAGCCTGTTATTGGAAATGTTCCATAAAAGCAATCTCCATTAGTTGAATCATACACTTATTTTTTCCTTCTTGAATCACTGTTTTATTTTCTATATTATTTTTCGTTTATCTAGTGCATTTTAAAGGCATTATCACATGCTGTTAAGAATCGATCGGTTTTATCTTGTCATTTTATCTTATATAGCAGTATTAATGCGTCAAATAAGTGAAATGGTTGCAATTTTGTACCCTCTTTTTCACTTCTCATCAATTTAAATCTTCTATTATTAACTTAATCCCTTATCATAATACGTAATGTGGCCACATACACAGAGACTTGCCTTCTCTTTTTCTGTGCTCTAGTTTTCTGACTCACTGTGTGCGCCAATCAATCCTCTTCTATTCATGTGATTCTTAGTCTTTGCTAGTCTTAGTGCATGACAGCTCATATCCCTCTTATGCTGAAAGGGAGGATAATTAACTTCACTATTCGTCTTACTATGGGGATGTTAATTCTCCTCGTAGAGCACAGAGTTTATTTTTTGCTTAAGTTTTTATATTTTGTATGTGGCCATTGAAGGATTGGGTCACCTTCTTTATCATATATCCTACTATCTGGAGTTTCAATGCAGTATCTTGTTACACTTTGTCGCAGAACTAAGACTTCAGTTTTAAAGGATTATGACCAGCAATTAGTGCCTCTTTGGTCTTGGCTATTTGAGGGCGTTATTGGAAACGATTTGAAGACGATTACATTAGCCATATTCTGTTCCGAAAGCAACTTTACTCCGTTTTTGGTTATCACGAATTTCATTGGATTTGTTTTAATCCGTCTGTTATGAAAAGAAAGCGTAAACACGAAATTGATCGTGCTTAAAGGTGGTGAAGAATAGCGACACCTCTCCCTCTCTTATTACTCCTTTTCTCCCATAAACGAAGTAACCTCCTTCACTGCCACCTTAAGTTATCCATTTCAGTTCTCTTCAAGTGGGGGGGGGGGGGGTGCTCCAAGTAAACTGTCTGTATGATTGTTCCTGTTGCTTCAATAATCAAGATGCGCAAGTAGTATTCACTTGACGGCAAAATAACCCTGCTAAAGCCACCTTTACCCTATATCGCAAAAGTGGTTAGATTCCATGCTTTTAGTAAATGTAGCACGATTTCGACTTCCCTTTTGGCTCGCTAAGTGCGAAGAATTGTACTGTTTAAGTTTTTCTATCTCTTTTTTTCCACGAAATTCTTTTATCTCTCTTATTTTTGTGTTTTCTTCGCACTATGAAATTCGTTGATGGGGATCGTAAATATCTCCCGCTCTCTTGTGTGCGCATGTATTACTTGTCAATTAATATTATGTTGGAAGAATAGCGTTGATGATATTTTATAGATGTGATCACATTTGTTAACAGTTGGTTTATGATGAATCAATTTGAACTAATGGGCGTTCTCAAAGTAGGTTGAATTTTCATGGTTTCCATTTCTACCATTTTGAAATCTGCTTTTGATACTTTAATAATTAGTCATTTACTCTAATAGACTTGCTTGTAACGAATTGATCGAGCGAAAATTTTGTCACCATTTTAAGGCTTTAAATCCAAGGCTGGGAAAGGACATGTTCGGGATTTCTGTGTACTGCCTCAAGTCTCTTTGTTCTTAGGGCCCTTTTTCGTTTGTAGTTTAGTTTTAAAGACGAGTGGGTGAAAGTTATGATAGATGCTGGTTTTAAGATGCAAATATGTCTATTTACTTGCATTTTCATATTGTACTTCAAAATGGTCTGATTGTAGAACCGTTTTATTTTTTTAATCTTCGTTGACATCTTTCCTTATAATATTATTGAAGATTTGCGTCTTGTTCGGGCTTCTTTAGAAACGCGCGCAGTCATTTTACTAGATTCTTATTTACCAAGCCTCACTTTGAGTAACATAGTGGCCATGTGTATGTCACAGTTATTTTATGTTGGAGCTGAATCGGTCTTACCTTTAATGCTAATCTGGTCTATCTTTCCTTATTCTTGTAGAAACGTCTGCATGTTCCTGAATCCCATCTTTCAGTACTGGCCCGTACACGTTTTAGAAAGACATATGGGTATAATTCAAGAGGCTCTGCGAAAAGGAGTTGCTGACGCTGATCAAGACGCTCGTTCCGCCACGAGAAAGTAAGTTGTCTCTTTCAGATTCTCCTTATCTCGGTGTTATGGAAACAAGCACCCAACAGTTATTCCTATCTGTCTCTCCAAAGATAACACCTATAGGGCTCTCATATGCTCAGCAAACGCATTTAACTTTGCCACTGACTTACTCCCATTTCCAATAAGCCACTAATATTCAACCTTGAATGGTAGAACAATTATAGTATGCATATTTATACAGAAAATAGAAAGCATAATCCACAGGTTTCCTTTGCTGTTGTGTTGAATTTATGCTTCAGTTCGCGGGATATGTCATAATGTTGCCACTGCTATTTCTCATTTTACGTCATTTTTATGTGCGTTTGGGCTGCTATAATTGGTTGATTTGATTCGCGCAGGCTTTAAATATCATGCCTCGTATTCCATTGGGTATACTGGGGGCTTGGCATGTTATATGCGATTATGGTCACCGTCTAGGTCGAATTTGGCTAGTGAAGATGTAAAGTTTGTTTATAATTCATCAGTTTAAATCCTGTCGAGAAATGTTTTTAAAATTGAATTATTTTGGAATTTGATTAGACTGATATTATTCCCAATGTGGTGCTCACATCTGACTTCTTCTGTAGATTGGGGTTGGCTTGGTTAGCAGTTCCATTCCCTGAGTATTAGTCGAGTCGATCATATTGGTTTTCTCATTTTCAGTTTTTACAATATTAAACTCGTGGAAACGTGGAATATTACTATCACTTCAAAAGTTCTCGTTTTTTCCACTATTTTATTCTAGTACTTTCCTTGCCGTACCGACGATTTTATTCGAACTAAATTAAGAGTTTTCGGTACTATCTCAAATGCGTAATTTTACCTATCTGCGGTGGACCTTTGACAAATTAAAGGTCAAAGTAGCACTACCATTAAGTTTTCTTTTTAATGTGAGCTTTGCTATTCACTGGAACGCAAAAATGCAAGAAACTGCAGCCTTCTCTTTGGTCCCAATTGAATTGAAAATATCTGTAAATTCTAGATGCATAAATTATTACTCAGATTTGTTCCGTTCTTTTTGTTTGTTAATTGCTTCCATTTTTTAGCATATGACAATTCTATTTGCCTTGGTAATATAGGCATTATTAGTTAATTACATAGAGTCATACGTTCGCATCTAGCATTAGTGTACTGCTATCCTAAATAATATTTTCTCATTCAATATTTGGCATGTTCTTGTCAGTTTTCTTGAAGAAATATGCGTAATAAAAAATAGTGGGAATTGTACTCGAAGGAGACTATTGCGGTGTTGAGTTGTCAAAATGTTTAAAACACATCTCTTTGATTTTCTTGCTTGTAAAATGTTTGTGTGACAATAGTTTAAAGTAGCTGGTTGTATTGCACGCCAAAATTGATCAAATTTTGGTTATGCTTCGATTGCTAGGCTCCCGATGAAATTTGATTGATTGAGCCAATTTGAATTTCTTCATTCATATATAAGGGAAATGTTTTCTTTGTACGAGCTCATTGCACGTCTGAGTTTTTCGTCATTTTTCGATAATTTAACACAATTAATGGACATTTTATTTTCTCTAAACTCGTAGAGTCGTTTGAGTAATGTCGTGTTTATATTGTTAACTTTGCGAACCTATAAATGAGCTATAATTTCGATAGAATTTCACAACTCACAAAACTTTGCTTAAGGCCGTAATTTTGTAAATGTCAAGGTAAATGATGCTTTTTATTAGTCTCACTGTTGACCTTGCTTTTATTGCTCTCAAACTATTGTCAATATATGCTGAACTTTCTTTCATTGGCTGAAGTAAGCTAATTTCTTTTACAGCGGAATTATTGAGTGCACTTCAAAATTAGATCATAATTTCGACTATAATGCACCTAACTGAAGTTTTCACTATCCGACAAAGCAGCTATCGGTTATGCATCTACTCTCGATAGACTGTATTTGATCTCCAAGAATACTAAGCATAATTTGAAGTTATGATATTTGTTGAGTTAGCCCTTCTCTAGGTATCTTCACTTCAAAGTCCATTGCATGCCATCTAATTGGCACTTCAGTACTAAACAAAGGGATATTGAGTTAATTGTTAATTTCTTCCCAGTGCCTTCAAGACTTTTGCTGAGAAGTTCCCCGACCAGGTAGAGCCAGTTTTACGAAATATGGACCCAGCGAAGCGTAAGGCAATCGAGCGTTCACTGGCTTCAAATGGAGTCGACGATCAGTCAAGTGTGGCGAGTGGCACTAGCAGTCGAACAACTAGTCAAACCAGCCTGGCTACAGCTGGATTAACAGGAACGGTCAAACGCACCACTAGACCTGCAATGGGCACCTCTGGTCTGGGAAATACTGCTCGAAGGCCCACTGTCACGGGAACTGGAGCCTATATGTCCGGTAAGTTATCTGTTTCATTAAGCTATTTGATGCTTTTTTTCGTACAGTATGTTCATATGTATATATATATATATATATTCATTCTAGCTTTGAATTTTAAATGCATTCGAGTATGATCTATGAGCAGGATATATTTTTACATCGACAGAGGTAGTTTGAAATCCAACTTTACGTACATATAGCTCTGTTCGTTATTTATATTTTCCCTCTTTCCTGATGACAATGGAGGATTGAACGAGAAGTTGGGATTTGTAATCCTCCCTTTGCTTTCATTTGCAGCGGGTTTTGAAATGTGCTAATCCTTACATTTAAGTTGTTTAGCATTTTCAAGGCTGCGTTTTAGTCTGTGAAGTGGTAGGTCAAGAAGGGATAATTGAATTTGAGTTTCTCAAACAGCAAGTAAACTCATCTACTGCTTATTTTCTCCGATTCAATGTCTGTGATATTTTGTTTGTTTTATTAATCCAATTTAACTTATTGAACTAAGATGCTGATTAGCGCAGAATTGTACATGTGTACATTATTTGCACGTAATGACCACTTAGATGCTTTTTCGTACTGTTCTTCTTTTTGACATTGCTCATTGTTTCGTTTTTTGTTTATTTAGTGGTTTCCATGGTTTTGTTCTTATTTGGAAGATAGAGGTGAGGTATTTAGGGAACCCGCTGATTAGTGTACAGAATAACATGCTTGGTGTTCCTTTATTGCAAAAAGAAGTGCGTACCTTTATTGGTTTTAATAGGCACAGTCCTGTAATCCTTTTCCTTTTCTTTCCTAATTCTATTTAGACTTATGTTGGGTTCTTATTATGTCCTTTATACACTTCCCGTACAAATTTCGTCATTAATTACTCTGAGTTCAATTTTCAAATCTCATATTCATAGATCATTGTGTCCCATTAGCAAGGATTGTCAAGTTAGCTTTTTAGCGGCTTGAGAAAGCATGATAGGTTTTATGTTTCTATACTACGATGTTTTATTAATGTATTACTGATTTTTGCCAATCAGTAGGTTCAACTTTTGCCCTCTCCTTATTTGGCTAGGGGAATTGCTATTCGGAACATTTTCCTCATTCACACATTAAAGCCTTTTGGATAACTTCGTTCTCAATTGGTTTATGTTTAAATTTGCCATAGAGTTGACGTCGCAGACAGCTTTGTCAAACTTATATGTCACATGCTTATTGCAGTCTGTCGTCTTATTTTCGTTGTAGATGCCATAATTACAATTGAATAAGACAGTTAGCTCTAATCATTAGGTGAAATTCACACTTGGCTAAATTTATTCAGAAAAAGACGAAGCGCTGAAAAAAGTTAGTTGGAGCGCTGGCTGATTCACGCGCCAAACTATAGACATGTAAACTAGTTAGGCATTTTTATTAACTAGGCCATTTTATACAGCAGTTAGCCTTCAGAAGTGTTGGTTCAACGGGCCTATGGGAATTTAGTCAACTTTTGGAGAGCCTATGCGCTTGAGAACCAGTGTTGTTGGTGCTCTCCTTCAGCATTGCTCTAACACCATTACGTACTTTGCTTTCAGAATTGGCACGAAAAAACCTTGGCGCCTACGGAGAAGCTCGTTCCCGGATGGGCGCTGGCAAAGTCTCCATGTCGCAACGTAAGCCACTGCCAATTTTTATCGATTTTATTATAATTATCAAACTCTAGTGTGGTGTCCTCGAGGTTATTCCTTTGTGTATTATGCACGCTGTTTTGGGTTTTCGATGCTATTTTTTATTTAACTCTGGTTGATAATGCTTCTAGCTTCCCTTTCGTCCAACTCGTTTGCCTGTGTCCCTTTGTCAATGTGTAATTCATCACTCTCTTGAGTGGGTAGATACTTTTTATATAACCTCATAAGAGTATCTTGTTTCCATTTTGTTCACCGAGCAACTTGTCACAGTTGCCGCCACCCACTCGAATATTTGCAAACTATTTAAGAGGTTAATTTACTGACAAGGTAGGTCTGAACATATTTCATTTCGATCTTTATTTTGCAAGTGCTGTGCCTGAAATAAACACTGAGAGAAGGTGTTTCTATTTACGAAAGTCTCAGTTGAGCCTATTGGTGTAAATTTCTTCACGTAACGCATTTCCATTTCAAAACCCCATGTAAACTTGTGAGTACTTCATATTCGTAACATAACTTTCTCCTTTAACTGTCGTTTTCGAATGGTTCTAGTAATGATTAGGCCTTTAAACCGCTGGGGCATCTTCGCATTCTTGTGCAAATCTATTTAATTAGTAAGTGAAACTATTTGATTTGCCCGTGTGGGCGTGTTTATCATATCCCATGAGGTCGCAGGTGATGAGATCTTTGCTTCACCGATTAATTCGGATCAATAAGAGCTCACATTAAGCTCGAATTTTGCTACTTCCTAATCAAGTGCTTTTAACTGCTCATCGAATGCACCTATGGCGCATGCAAACGTCTGGAGTAATTCTGACCTGCAATACAGGATTAGAGTTGTGTACTTACTTGAGCGCATAAAAAAGTAGATTATTGTTAATACGGCAAAATCTTAACCCCGTCTCGGACAATCTCCTATTTTGAACATTCTCATGTGTCTCTTTTTACTGTGCGAAACACGTTAAATAAAGTTGCGTTTTTTGTACACTTACTGTGTGTGACTACATTAAAATTTAACTGAATCAATTTTCACTCCAGCCACGGATAAAACAAGTTATGAATATGGAGACCACACTGAAGACGGTGATGATACACCCCGTAGGTTAATGGCTATTGAGCTCACCTTCAATCTCTGTGTGTTTGTGTGTGTGTGTGTGTGTTCGTTTAGTTGTGTTCGTTCGTTCGTTCGTTTGAGTTTTTTGCGTATTTATATTTTCTCATCTACTTTAATAAATGTGCTTAGGTGAGATTGCTGTATCCTCTTACGTTTCACACGTGTTTCTATGTTTTATATATATTTCTTGTTTTTTTAGAGGACGTTGAAGGTTTGTGAATCTATAGCATTTCAATATTTAGAGGCCCAATTAATTCAGTTAGTTTAGTCCAGATAATATTGGTCTCTTCGTTGACATATCCGATTTACTAGAGAGAATCAATCCAATCAAAAATATAAGGCTAAGTAATCCGTTACCGTTTTAGATAATGTTAAAGGTTGGTTTATGCTTTATATTGCCGTTTTATATACACGTAGAAGTTCTAATTCACCGCAAACACCAATATACGTACAATTTAAAATGACACGCTTGGAGGTTACACGATTTCAGAAAATCAGTGGAGTATTAGCAAATTTATGGTAGTTTTAGAGGATATTAGAAGTATCTTAATATTTCTAATGTTATTTATCTTCACAAAAATTTAAAGGATATTGTATTTCTCACACATGGATTTATCGACAACGTAGCAACTATTGGAGAAATTTATTCATATGGGACTAGCTAATCTCTTGCTTATAATATAACCTCTATCTCTAATTGAATGTTTCGATTCATACCTAATGTGAGGGAAAAAATAAATTGACAATTACGTCTTAGCTAGGGTAACTGTTTGATGGGGCATTAAAGGTTTGTTGACATAGAAATCCGCTTTGTCATTTTAATTCTCCCATTATTGCTTAGAGATTGATCGGCCTTCAGAGTAGTCAAGACTTCATTACGAAATAACTATTTTGCTATTGCTTTGGATGGTTAACGCTTTAGATTGTCATTTCCATAGATACACTTCTAGTACACGATACAGAGCTAATAAATGGCACGCTTGATAGTTTTCGCACTACATTAGAAAATTGCTATTCCCAATGTGTAACACCTATTAACCAGCTGTGTAATTTGTTGCTTATCTTTATTAGCTGCTAGTCGGGAGACTTCTCCCCTACGAACACCCTCAGAAGTGGACTTCAGTACCGGCTCCACAGCTTCAGCCGTTGCAAAGGCCTATGCGAAGACGATCAGTTCCACTTTAAATCGCCGAAAGCCTCTGGGTTATGGAACTGCTGCTCGGGCTCCGAGGAAAATATCGAGAAGTGGGCTTAATAGTCAAGGCGCTTCTCGAGAAGCTTCGCCCAGTTCTGCTGTCAGTGCTACTGCTCCGTATAATACTTATAGTGCAGTTGGCACAGCCAACAGACGTGAGTCAAAGTCACCTGAATGAGACTTTCCTTTCTCGGATAATTAAATTAAGCTTAACTCTCTCGACGCTTTCTTGTTCTCTCTCTCCCTCTCTCTCTACTTTTAGCATCCCTAACTTCAATGAGTGATGCTGGATTTTCTCAGGTGAGATTTCTCCCTCCTTTTTTGTCGCTTTGTCAGTTCTGCTTTTTGTTTCGTCATTTTGTTTTATGCCATATAAAAATAAGCATTACACCCTCAAGGGTATGTGGGGGGGGGGGGTTAATAAACTGAAAAGTGTGACGGATCTCAAAGGATAAAATGAGGAGATTATCCATGAGATTTACGGTATTTTTCATCTTGTAACTTTTAAACTCGACTCTTGTTTAAATAATCCAATTTTCATCATCCTTGAGATGCTTTGTACCGTCTGGAGTCAATGGAATAAAATAATTGATCGAGCTTTGATCTATTTGTGTGTTCTTCCCCCCCCCCCCCTCCTCCTCCTTCCCTCACTTCGAATTAAAGTGGATTTATTTCATACGTTTACAACTGCTACCCCCTTTTCACTTAGGGGTTCCCGTTCTCTATCTCCTTATATTATCGATGCAAACTAGTTGCGCCTATACAACCAAGCGCAAGTAATTTCCTTGGCACGTTTTTGGACTAGTGTTCTTTATTTCCATAGCGTATTCTAAATACACTCAGTCAAGTAAATGCGGTTAAGGTGTAGGATATTTATTCACCCTCTTAAGGCTTATTTCAAATGTCTATCAGACACTTGGCTTCTTCTAAATACGAAACTTCTATTGAGAAAGCCAATAGCTTTTAATTGAAGTTGAGTTTCGTACTATTTGAGTCTAGGTAAAAGTTGAATTTACGATATAGATTTATGAATTTTATTGTTGAGATTCAGTTTGATTCTGGGGTGTGTTTTACGAGAAATAAGGCCATAATCGTTTATTTTTGAGTATAAATTTTACAAACTCTAAACCGAGCTGGTAATGGTAAGGGGTCTTGACTTGAAAGACGATGTTGAAATAAATTTGTGCGGCGTACAATTCTTCGTTAATCTCGGTGTGGGCTTTTGATCCAAAATTATTCCTGGTGGTTTTAGTTCAAGAGTGCCTATTCGCGTCGTCAGTATGAGTCAGACGATAATGCTAGTGAGACATCATCCTTGTGCTCAGAACGATCTGGCCAGTCGATGCCCGTCTATCGTCGCAATCATATGCGTCCCATTGCCGTAAGCTCCAGCGCCTTCCCATAACCTTTTCATCCTTTTACCAATTCTATGCTTGGTGGGTGCCTATAGGGTCTTCTAAATGTTAATTGTTTATATATATAATAGCGTTACTCGGTTCCCCGTACTGTTGAGGTATGTTCGCTGCATGCTACTTTCTTACTAATGATTTCACCTCCCTTGTGCATCTAATACACACGCCATTAATGAACGCATGACAGCATGTTCGGCATTATAACCTGGCACGGAGTTAAGATTGAATAACTTAATAATGGTTTTCCCATACTACAACGATTGATTTTTTGTGTTTTAGGGAATTGGTGATATAATTAAACTCCTGAGTAGTTCTCAGTGGTCTGAGAAGAAGGATGGCCTGCTCAACTTAAAGGAGTACCTCCGATCAGGCCAAACTTTGAGGTATGTTGAAGACGATATTGTGAATTTAAAGTCGATTATTCTTATTCAGTTTAGCTTCTATGATATGCGTGTAGTGTAGAGTAGGTTTGACCATTGTTTTCCTCTCTAATACTATTTGATAACTGATGACTTATGACCTGTGGATGGGCTTGAATGGACAAAAAAATGAGGATGGAATTTAATAATATTGGCGGTCTTGGTTCTACCATTCCAACCAAACTGGACGCAAGGAAAAGCGTAGTTGTGTATGTGTGACTAGTGATGGAATATTTTATCCAGGCCTTTATTTACTAAGAGTGTGAAGATGAATGGCATAGAGTGGAGTAATCACCAAGAGGGAGTTTAGAATTCGATTGACGATGACTCCCAACACTCTCCCTATGTTCTCAAAGTTTTGACTGATTCATTTCGGGATTGATTTTGCTTTAGTCTCCAATCTTTTCCTTTCTCACATACAATGGGAGTTGCTCCTATTTTACTTTACCAATCAACTGGCGTTTAGGCGTTACCGCTTTTAGGCAATAAATGCAGCAATAAATTGATCGGTAAGGTGTCTTGAGCTAGTGGCTATAAGATAATAGAGTAGAATGTCACAGAGGAATGTTAAGACGTATTTTAAGTCAGCAATAAGAATGAAGAAATAATTCTGGCGGGCTGAAAGTCGATACATATTTGGTGCGTTTGAATTAAGTGTTACCGCATTTTAGTACACGAATGAACGTCGCAACTCGGTCAAAAGTGAACTTAAATTTTGGACTTTAACAAAATTCTTCCTATGGTTTCTTATTTACCTAAGTTAATCTGTTACCTCATTTGCATTTCAGCCACCAAGAAGTGGTACGTGTGGCGGAAGTCCTCAGTGTCATTTTTGGTGAATCATCAAGCAAAGTCATTACCCCCTTTATGGAGACCCTCCAACTCTTTATCAAGGGCTATAATCAATACCTCCATGAGTGGATCTATATTGCAATGGTGCGTTTATTTAATCGTCAGGGCCAGGAAGTCCTCTCCACACATCAAAAGTCTATCTCTGATACTCTCGCCGTTATTCGGTAGGTATTTCCACTGATTTCTTCTTCGCTCTTTTTCCCCTTTCCTTTAAATCTACTCGTGAAAAATGGGCGTGTGCTGTTAGTGTAGATAGACACGTTAAATTTTACTTAGCCAATAGGATTCAAGGTCAGTGTGATTGCATTCGTGCCTTGGAGCCATTTTGGTGAAATCAGTAAATTTTTCCATGCACCAGGTACTTACAGACGCCCACAAATATTGATTGATTAGCAGGCAGTAGATGTACTGAGCCATATTTTCAGTCGTTAGAAAGTGTTTGCGTCAATATTGCTCTTCTATTTTTTTATGCTCACATCAATACTTTGAGTAGCCAATTCGATAATCATCTTAATCACTCCTCATAAATGTCAAATGTGCCAGATATATCCGAGTGCTTGAATTTGCTGGTCCTCTGTTTTGAAAAAAACCTGCTTAAATATTTCGCCTTTTTCTATTCTGTCCAGAATTCTCTTTAACCATTCTAAAGCTGTCGCTTATTTTCAGTGGTAGTAGTAAGAAAGATGTGAATTTTTAAATTTTCAGTAGTCGTGACGTTTTGATTTTTTACTTCTTATTATGTTTACAGCTATTGTTTATTCCTAATTATATGCATCAGTTGATGGCGTCCCCATCGTTGATCTGAATTTCTTTGTTTGAGAATCGTAGTTAATTAAAATTAGACTCGCAAAAAATACAAAATATTCGGATTCAGTGATAAAATTGTCCGTATTTGGATGGATGGCTGTATGTTTTAGCTCATGTAAAGTGAAATGCAAGGTAGTAACAAGAATAACTACATTTTAGTCGTTTTAATCGTTTGCTTTTCGATTATTTGCTCTCAGCGCATTAAAGGCTAGTCATTTCCTAAAACTAGTGCTGACAATCATTACTGGCACGTTAACTAATAGCTGTACTTACGACTTGAGTTAGAATAAGAGGCTACAAATAAGTACTTTTAACGACTGCACTCAGAATTTCATAGGAAAACATCTAACCTAGGGGAACGTAGTTAATGTGCTTGTGGATTAATTAAGCCTATCACATCTGCATTCACAGCACTGCGGTCCTATTCTACTAATAATTTTCGGGTTCATGACCATTAAGTATATTTTATCCAATGAAGTGCTATTTATTTCGTCTATATAGCTGCACTTTATCTTGAAAACAAAGTAAATCTTGTTTGCATTAAAGTTCAAACGCTTGTTAGGGGTGATTTAAATATGCATTCCTGTTACTCGCGTTAATGAAGTATACGGAAATTGCACGTGCTTTAATCCTATGTTTCTCTCTTTTTACAAATTAAGTATCACTTGAATTAATGTATCTTTGGTCCAGCGTATGATCATCGCTGCCACGCTTGTGCTTAATTGCTTTCTCATTATTCAAGTGCTATTCTTAGTTAAATTTGGTTAAGTGGCATGCCTCATAGTGCTTAGAACTAGTCTTAAAGGGGTAGCAGAACGCAATTTTCTGGATGGAAGCCACTGCAGCATGGTACTTTATTGCTCTCTTTCTGAATCAATTTCTTGGACTTTCTGTCCTCTTTTTTCGACAGATTTAATTATGCTCTTCGTGCCAATATAATATGGTTTCTTTCAGATCTCATTTCCCACTCAATCTCCTCTTTGCCTGTTGCTGCCGTTTTATAATTGATGACGCAATGTCTCCAACACTCAAGGTCAAAGGTCGAGTTCTAGACTACCTGAAAGATCTCCTGGTTATGATGCCTGTTGATGCTATCAGTAATCCCACCCCAGAAATGGTCAAGAGTATCATTCGCATCATTACCTGGTCCACGGAACCCAAATCAGCTGACGTTCGACGTGTGAGTTCAAGTTGCTAATGGAGTTTTTGTCTCCATATTGGGTCTCTATTTATATGAGTAGTATAATCATAAATTCTTTTAACGTATTATTAATTTATGTATTATCCGATTAGACGCCACCTACTTGCGATATTACTGAGGAAACAATACCGGTAGGTTAAGAGGCAGTTAGGCTGTTTTTTGTTAATAACTTTTAGCATTTACTTCCTGTTTTAACGCCTATTTATCTTTGATTTACTTCTAGGCCGAGGTAAATTTCTGTTTACTTTTCGTTCCGATAGTTTGTCTTTTCGCCTTTTTTCGATTCAATGTAGTTTGTTACTGAAAACTTTTAACTGCTATCTGTATTTGTGTATGCTTATCCCAAAAATTAGTACCATAGAGTGTTAAATTTCCCTTTATATGCTGCCTGGGTCTGACTATTAGTTCAAATTGCTCTCCCTAATAATACAGTTTCAGTTCGGTTGAGTTCAAAGTCTAAAAATACAAGAGAAATAAGTGTGCTTTCTGGGCAAAAATGACCTATCACTCCTCTTGTTACAATCGCCTTATTAGTCATTTGGTCTTCAATCGCTTTCTATCACCTCCTCCTCCTCCTTAATTCCCTCCTCCGAGGTGGAAGTTTATTAACCTTTTCTTCTCCACTTCCAAAGCCATCATGTATCCTCTTGAAGATTTCTTTCGTCCATATTGATCAAAGGAATATTTAAATAAAATGAGTTCGCTTTAAACAAATCTTTTAGTCCGTCCACTTGAGAAACAATCCTACGCTTACGTGGGTATTTGGGTTGGAAAATGGGTTCTTGTTTCCTAGTTCATTTATTCTAATCTACTAGAAGTTGGTTTTAGAGATTGACCGTTTTCTACTCTTGTCAGGCCTTATTTAAACTCCACTAACACTGTAATCAAAGTAGTTTGGCCTTAACTAATCACACACTTAACCCGATTATTGTGTTCAGCATCTGTCTTAAAACAGACTGAAGTTTATTAGTTGTCTTCCTGCTATCGTTGATACAAATTTCCTATATTGTTTTCCTTCTTAATAAGTTAGGGTAGGGTGTGTGAAGATATGTCTTTTCAGGCAAAAAACGTGCAACAATTGTGTTCGAGATATAGAGATGGTCCTTTGAGGGTTAATGAGGGTCATACTTGTTCCTGCGTTTTTTATGTATTTACCATTTATTCGATATGTTGCCGTTCACTTCTTCCCTTTAGATGTTAACCGTTGCAGTCTAAAACGGGTTCCTAGTTTTACTTTGTCATACCCTCTCTTTTAGCTGGCAAGTCGCGTTGTGATAAAACTCTCCCACCTGAACCCAGCTGCTTTCAGTAGTATGGTTCAGATGATGCCTAAGACCACACAGGATCAAGCGGCCAAGTTGTTGAAAACTTACGCAAAGACCTCAACAGGTAGCAACTCCGGTGTCTCCTATGATGCAACTTCCCCCGATGGTGCACGCACTGCATCGCGTTTGCCCAAGTAAGTCTCGTCATCTGTAGAGAAGTGCCCATAGTCCTCTCCTTTTGAAAAAATATATATATATGTGTGTCTGTTGAGTTATAAAGATGGCATAGATTATACTATTCGAACAGGCAGATGCACAGACATTGCAGAGAAATTGGAAGGTCATAAAGTAGAGGAAATGGGGCTTGTTGCCGCTTGTTTTCTTGAAGGATTCGATGTCATAGTATGAAGAAGTCACTGATATTCAGTAGATGGGTCAATAGACTAAGGTGATGGGATAGAAGAGGATGCATATGTCCTGGTAACTAACCGGTATATCAAGACTACGAGTGGATTCATAATTTGGTCAATTAAAGCAGGGAAATGAGTATAGCCGGGGCCGCTTTTCCCACACCATAGTTGATTACATTGAAGTACAATTGCACATCAGAAGGAAGCTTTGTGCGAATCGGCAAAGTTTGTCAAGCAAAGCTATGAAGGGCTTAATGGTGGTTGTAATAGTACTTGGCTATTTTAAGGTTGCTGTAGTAATCGGTTATGTACTTCAACGATATAGGCACTCAACTGTGCTTTCTTATTTCTTATGCAAGATTTCGCTTATATGCTTTTACCTTTCATTTCCGGTTGTGTGTTGATGTACTAACGATATATTTCTCTCCCTCTATCTCTCTCTCGTTCTCTTTCGTACGTAACTGTGTTACTAACAACCACCTAACTTTATTTATTTGATTAATCTACACCCAAACCTTGTTTGCATATGTCTGTTTTGTTTTCATTTTGTTTTTTTCCTAAAATTCAAACTCATTTGATAATGCCGTGTGTGTGTGACCTTACTTTACCTTTGTTTACATTCAACAGATTTCAGCGGTCTTATTCAATGCGGCAGCCCGCTTCTCCAAAGTGGACTCTAACGAAGTCATTAGCTTTTTATGCTCATTTTCTTAGTTTTCTTTATTAGTACTTATAGTGATCGAAATAGAAGTAATAATTTTGTTTTAGCCAACGTCCATGGAGGCTATTCTACTTCGGTTTAACTATATCATGACATTATTTGATAATTTCTTGTTATGAGGTTACAGCCTACTACGAAGTGGCTTGGGCTATTAGATCTCTAAATAAATACTTACTACTTATTCAGTCGATTATAGAGATGCCAACCACTTAACATGACATGATTTCGAGATCGTTATCTCTTTTATTAGTTCGCGACCGCATTAATTGCTCTGTGTAATTGATGAACTTCTCGAAGTCAAATCGTAAATGTAAGCGCATTATTTGGACTAATGTCGGAGGTATTTCCTTGTCTGTCAATACCTGAAAAATGACATCTCAGAAACTCTAATTAAATTTCAAGATTAGGAAGGGTTTGTTTCTTATAGTCTAACTATATCTTCTTTTGCATCAATTATGAAATGAGTTCTACTAACACAACTAAAATGTCATATTTTCAAATACATAGTGTTACTTTTACTTCCCTCTGCCTTATGTATTAGCACTCATTGCCGCCCTTTGGTTCATTATTTTTATGCAGCAAAATTCGTCTCCCCATGTGCTATCACTCGTACGTATCCATAGCCCGTTAATACTAGAAATAAACGCTAACAGTTTAGTGTAGTTTTTCAATGCACCTATTTGTGTTATATATTGGTGTTTACTCTCATAATCATTCCATTTAGTGTTCGCATTTACCCGTCCTATCTTAAAAATCAACAGCAAAGGTTCGTGGTGTGATGTGATACTGAAATTTTCATAACCCATCTTTATTGATTGCAGTCTAATCACCTTACTATCGTACTGTTTATGTACTCCTTACCGATGCTTTTTTTATTACCATCAGACCAATAACGGGCAATGGTACAAGACCCTTCAGTCCCATCACAGAGACCTGCGTGCCTGGTGTGGCTCACGAGGCTCCCGTGAATCAATTCTCACCTCCAGGAGGGCCCAAGAATCGATCTGTTAGTACCCCCGATGGTCACACGGCTGGACTTGTAGCTGAATGTGGAGGTCAAATGCAAGCACCACCGCCTCCGCCCTATTCGGCCAATCTACCAATAGGAGGACAGAACGGTGATGGAAGTCATCATTACTTCCCTGTTGCGGCTTGTCCCGGAAATATGAACAGTGTGCCTCAGTATAGCCAACAGAACTCGTATCCTCCTGGCAAGAGTGTAAAATATATTTGTTTATCTCTATATTATAAAATTAGGTAAATTATATCTGTAGATTATTAAATGTGGGCCATCACCAGGTTTAGGTTTAAGAATGGAAAATATGCTAGGTATTGGACAATTTAGCACCTTAAAAATGCTAAGATTTCTTTTAATGTCCAGCGGTAAATAGTGTAGCTTCATTGAGACTATTTAATCCATTTAAGTTTGATTTTAGCATCGTTTGAAGGCCGTTAAGTGGAAAAAACTTGGCACCGATATGGATTTGCCATATACTTTGAATCGTGGAGTTTTTATAGTAAAACGCTGCCTGCACCTATCCTTCTTTGTGTAGATTCGCGAGCTAATTCATCTCATACAGTGTTCAATTATTTCTCGTAACAGCAAAAAGTGGTGTTCATGCGAGTAATTTTAAATGGGGTTTGATAGCTGTACTTGCGTGCTCAATGAATAAATTGAGGGAGGTCGGCATTTCTTCTTTGTTCTTTTAGTTATTTCACTACGGCTAGCCAAGATTTCTCTATGTCAGCTAACCAAATATGCATTGTTTTGCGCATAATATTATTGTTTTGTGCCTTAAGCTCTCCTTTATACTGTGTTATTGGACCTTCAGTCGGCTACTTCAATTAATGGAAAATCTGTTGTCACCTAGGCTAGCTATTGTGGCGGAAATTACTCCCAATAAAGTTTAAAGTTCGCTTTGGGGCTATCTTTCGTATTACGAAACCCAACCTGAGATAATTCATATCTATCAAAAATCTTTGTTTACAAAAGATTGTTTGTTTCTTCAGAATCTGATAAGATAACACGACTAAAATTGTTGGCTGTATTTGCTTTTGAAAGTACTTAGCGTTATTTTTTGCGATCTGGATTTTGCCTTTCCGGGATACTACTTATGACCTGAGCTACACTCTCCCGTTAGTAGGATTAAGAAAGATCTTATTTATGATGAATGTTCTTCCATTTATTCCCCACAGCCTCAACCACAACAACAACAGCAGCAACCACCATCTCTATTTAGCGGAATGACCAACGATCGTAAGTTTTGAAGCATATTTCTTATGCAATTATATCTTACTCTTGTTGTGTTTATTAAATGGCCAAATGGTCAACTTCCTTTTCTCATCGCCTTTCACTTCCTTTCTCGTTTCACACCCATATGCAGTGCTCTATCCCAAGTTAAAAAAGCCCGTGATTGGCTATCAGACCTTGAAAAAGATTCGCGGTAAGCCTGCTGCTGTTCTCCTCGACTCCTGTCGCGCCCTGTGTTATGTTCCCCTTCCTACTCAAACATACACACACACACACCTGCATGCAAAGCTCAATGTGCCGCTTTATTATAGACTCTTTGCATGTGCTAGCTTTGAAAGTGATATCGGACTGTTTTAAAGTATATATATAGAAACAGCAGCAGCAGCTTGTCCCTAAATTTCAACAAATCTCCCCTCCTCCCCTCCCCTATCTCCCTTCTCCTAGATCTCAATTAGTTCTGAACGGAGTAGTCCATCCAAAATAACGCTAGATCTAGATGATTACTTTTACCAATCACCGTTTCCCGCCCCCCCCGTCCNCCCCCCCCCCCTTCTTGCCCTTTCGTTTAGCTGTGCTTCAATGTAATTTGGACACAATTATTATAGTGCTAGTTTATGTAGTCGGTTTTTGAGTTCGACAGTTTTGTAAGATTTAGTTGGCTTTTTTATTCCAATTACCAAAGCATATCCAATTCCCCATTCGTTTCTTCTAGAAATGCCACCTGAAGATGCTATCACAGAAATTTTGCAGGAACTTTCCAACTACAATGACAGGTGAATTTATGAGTTGTTATTGTTTATTGTTTGTTTTGTTTCGCGTGTTGAGTCCAAGTTCCTCGTTTGCGTTTACACAGATATGAGCAGCGCAAGGCATGCATGCTGAAACTGATTAAATTACTTAGAGATGGAACTATTCAAACCTGGGAGGAGCATTCGAAACCCACTTTGTTGATTCTACTGGAGTCTCTCTCGGATGCATCGGTAAGTTTTTTTGGTTCATGCAAAATGCCTACACATGTGGGCTTTCCGTTTGAGATACTTTTTAATTGTATGTGTAACCGTGATTAATCCTGGAGTTTACTTATTTGGAGTATGTGTATGCGTACTTGGTTATTCTTTTAGATGTATCAAAGTTTTTATTCGTATTACGCTGTCTTTAAAATTGTAAACACTTGCTCAATGAGAGTGGGTGATTGGAATCACCTGAATCTTGGAAGAGAATAATTTGTATCATGCTGATTCTCTTCAGCCATCAAAAAAATGAGGCGATTAGAGTTTTTGCTCAATGCTTCTGAACTCTGCGAAAGAATCATGCATAAACCGGAGAATCGCGAGGGAGATCACGAGGCTGCCTGTGGCTAGAAGAAAGCAACACGATGGACTATCTGTTTGCTATCGTACACCAGATTAGCTGGAGCTTTGCCGTATTCTATAAATCTCCTTGAAGTTGTGTACTTTTCTTTGTAACATCTCCGAGTATTGGCAATTTCATAAGCATCATTATAACGTAGACTTCTTCTAACACCATCTGTTTTTCCCAAAAACGAAAGATTAAAAACTCCTCAGTAGCAGCAAGGGCAAGTTTATCCGATATTGGTTTACTTTGCCGTGTTTTTTTAGGTTTTGGAACTAACACTTAATGCTGTTTTTTGTCTGTGTGTGATTGATTGTTCACCTCTTTTTCCCTTTTTCTTCCTCTCCACCCTTACAGAGCGAGACTCGGGCCCTGGCCCTGAGAGTATTGCAGGAACTGGTGCGCACCCAGGGTGAACTCATAAGTGACTACGCATGTCTCACTGTCATGAAGATTCTCGAAGCTTGCAATGACACTGACAAGGGGGTAAGCGCGTTTTTATCTTTCATTACCATTTGTTTGCTTGCGTTTATTGGTATTATTATCCTATAATGTTGACAGTCCATCAGTATCCATTAGGTTGGCAACTAAGTCATTGCCGATTTCAAATA